ACTGGTCTGGTCTGAGAAGAACCACTGACTCAGACCTCCTGCTGTGAAAAACACTGGAACCTGGAGACAAGTGACGGGTTCTTTCTGTAGAACCTCCGTGGAACCACGGAGCAGAGGACTAGAACCTGGAGGTTTGGTAGAGTCAGGCGACAGAAGGAGGAGTGGGGGGGGGGGTCTGTGGAGGGGGGGCCATCTGGAGTCGTTCTCATTTTCACCCCCCACACAGACACACACACACACAGACACACACACACAGCTAATCTGTGGTGTTCTTCTGCGTTACCTCAGCAGAAACCAAACCTTCTCCACCTCCAGCTCTGCAGCAGATCTCACAGGAAGAGTTTCAGATCTGACCAATAGGAGCTGTTACCAGTTACCAGTGTGATTGACTGGAGGTGGGCGGGGCCTGAAGAGTCCACAGGAGACCAGGGTCAGGTTCTGGTCCTGGCTCCATCAAGCCCACCTCAGACTCCTGGGTCTCTGTTTCCTCCACAGATGCTGAGTCCACAGGTGCCCGTGTTGGTGGACCTCCTTCCTGTCCAGTCTCTGACCGAGTCCCTGTTGGTCGTCCTGCTCCAGGTGTCTCAGGCTAGTCCGTCCTCATTGGTCAGCTTCCTGCCCGCCCTGAGGACTGTCGGGGAGAAGAGCCCTGCTCTGCTGGGTCATGTGGTCAAAATCCACAGTGCAGTGGGCATCATCAGTCAGGTACACACACAACACACACACACACACACACACACACACACACAAACCAGTGGTCACGGATCTGGAAACCATAACATTTTTACTCAAGTGTAACCTTTTCTTCAAAAGTTCATTTTCTACTCAATCTTCTTGTCTAAAACCTGTCAACTCAGCTCCAGTACACACACACACACACACACACACACACACACACACCGTGGCGTCCTCTGTTTCTTCATGTTGAAACCATTTGATAAAAAGCCCCCGTCTCCGTGGCCCCCTGCTGGAGATTCCAGCTCAGTGGCCCCCTGGTGGCTCGTACTTGCGTAACGTTCTCCTTTTGCTTCCTGAACTTCATCAGTTAGATCTTGGGTCGGGGGGGTGTCTTTGTCCGCCTTCTTTTCCTCTGGCACTCGTGACCTTCTGACCTTGTGGAACGTGTCCAAACAGTTCTGGAACTGCATTCTTTCCTCCTCATTACAAGGTGTCGTCGACGCCCGCGGCCTCAGGTCGACG